CCCTTGATCAACCAGATGTTGATTTGTGATGGTGATGAAATGTTGCACAGCATGGTAGTCATGTTTCCTGTCTTCACTTATGAAAATGCAGGATTCATGCATTGGTTGCTCACACTGTGGACACCTGTAGTAGGCAACAATAGGATGGATAGTTGCCTGTTCATATGACCAGTGAGCACTTTGTGCTTCGTCTTGAAAGTGACAATTGTAATTCTGCCCAAAATCCATGCACAAGAGGGACCAGTTGTCAGGGATGTTGTTCTTCAATAATTCGAACTGTCTTCCTTGCCATTTTGCATTTGCCAGATGTTTCGAGAATGGCTTCAGCTCTTCTGTCAGTTCATAAACTAGACTTGCTACTGTTTCTGTCTTCTCCTTCAAGACGAAGTGTTTGGCCTCAGTGTTGGTACCATCCTTACTTGTTTTTGTGTAAGCCTCGCTGACCCACACTTTCCATTTTATAGGATCATCCCCATGGCCTTGTAGGAGAGGTTCAAGTTGCTTAGACACATCACAAACGCCACACTTGCTGCATGTTCTGTCAAGGCACTCCTTCTTGGGGAACATTCCTGGGACTTCGCACAGCGTCTTTGAAGAAGCTTCATACTTGTTTCGCAAAGCAATATCTGCTTTGTTAACTTTCATGCACTTAACATACAGGGATTCTACTTTAAATTTAATGTTAACACAATACTCACAAAGGCATTGGAGTAGTTTTGTCTTTGAGACAGGCTTATAGTTCTTAGGCCTAAGAGCTGAAAATTTAGAGAAACTCAGTGAGACAGCTGGATTTTCAGCCTTGAATTCCGAATAAGCTGTTTTCATGGAACACTCCATGACCTTGCCTGCCTTCTTGTTGACAGCGGAGCGTGCATCTGGCATCTCCCTTGCAATGTCGACCCGATTGTAGAATCTGGCAACTTTAGTCAACATGTCCTGGCTTAGAGCATCTCTTCTTTTCTTCCGAAAATTTATCGCATTTAGGTTGTTTGGCTTAGACAAAAAAGTCCAACTAAGTCCAAGGTGCTTTCGTGCAACTGTCTTTTTTATCCGGTTTTTGGCACACACAGCACTGTACAGGTGGCGCCTGAGTTCAACATCCTTG